CACTTAAGTAATTATTTAATCACAATCTGTTTACTAAAGAACTAGGTTGATAGGTTGATGTCCTTGGTTCTAAGGCTGTCTCTTATACACATCTAGATGTGTATAAGAGACATCTATCTACCGCGGTAGACTTGTATGCAATGTGATATGCAAATTTTCTGCATATACAGCCTTGTGTCTACCGCGGTGCGGTAGATTAAGGCTTACCGCGGTAGGATAATTTGGCGACGCTCCCTAAGTGGGGCAGAGAATTTGTGTATATTTTGGATAGCCCTCATAGTAGACCACTTACTGCTGGTAAAAAAATAAATATTAAAAATGCAATTTTTCTATAGATGGTCATATTATTGGTTACTGTCATGTTACGGTTACTCACGTTACATTTTGTCCAATACAATTTTATAAGTACATGTGACTATAATTCAGCCATTATTAATAGCTTAGGTCCCAAAGAATGCTTACAAATACAAATATGTACTTCAGCTTATTTTCTTCATAAAATTTATTTTTTTCACATCAAAAGATCATTTTCAATATTTTACTTGTCATGCATGACCTTTCTACAGTGTGCAGTATCATTATTTGAAATTTATTTATGGTTGCAGCTCATTATATTATCATGAACCCAAATAATCTGTAATTCAATAGGTAACATAAATTGCCAATCCTGCATTCACATCATTTAATGATAATTACCAAGAAACACTTTAAGTGATTTCAACTTGTCTAAACACAAGTGGCCTCATTTTGTTGGTTTAGAAATCCTCACAGAATTTTAATAAACCATGACTGTTGGCAATTGCTTTGGCCAGTAGCTTTTGCTTTGGCTTCTTTTTTTATATAAAATACGTTATCTTGTGGAACAGGTCATTTCCAGTACCTGCCCACCCTTTTCATCACAGATAATTGGTAGTTTAGGGTAAATATTTCCCACACAAATAAAATATACGAGGGGTGCTGGATAAAGACAACTTGGTTTTTTTTTGCTTCAACAAGATATTTGTAGAAGTCTTGTTAATTTTAATTTTTTAAAGTTTTTTGGCCTGGTGTCTATGTATACATTGTGTCTAAAGTTAATATATTTCAATCTTTGTTCAATAAAGTGGAGATATATGTCCTAGTCCTTGACCTCTCTAGAGTCACTCTATATAGGCTTATAAGCCTTAAGACTTCTACGAATGTATACCTTGTTCGAAGCAAGAAATCAAATTGTCTTTACACAGTACCTTTCGTTTATTTATAATAATAATAATTAATAATATTAAT